ATTACCATATAGGTACAGTATGCACCCCCCAGCTCTCCCCTACTTATGTTTCGGCAATTCTGAACTATTTACAGTTCAATCAACACCTCAGTGCAGTAAGCTCCTCTATTCCCACTATCTTTTCCATCTATACAACACACCCTTCCTCTGCTATCCATGCCCCAACCTCTGTAAATCCCATTAAGCCAATATTTCTTAACCCTGACATAACTTACATTCTGAGCTGGGTAATTCTTTGTTGTGGTGGGTGCCCTGTTCACTGTAAGATGTTCAACAGCATCCTAGGCCCATACTCACTAGACATTAGTAGCACTCCCCCTAGTTGTGATTCAAATGTCTTCACATATTGCCAAATGAATGCATAAAATATATCTAGATTATATACTAGTCTATTCTTACCAACTAGGTTTAACCTGGCATCCTACCCTCACACTTTTCTCTTGTTCTCCTAGTATTTGGTTTTTGCAGGTTAAAAAGGAACAAACAGAAATTTCAAAAACCAACCTATTACTATCTGCTCCTTGCTGTGTTCTAACTTTGGACTCTCTGCTGTTCCTCAAATACCTGAGGGTCCTTATACGTGCTGTTCTCTGTTGGGAACACAACTCACCCAGATACTCACATGACTTACTCCTCAACTCCTTCGGGCCTTTACTTCTGGGGCTGGGGGTGGGGGTGGGGGTCTTCCTGAGCCACCCTACTCTTACTGACAGCGCCTGTTAACATCTAACATATTACATATTTTACTTACTCATCTTGATTATTGCCTCTTTTCTCCATCTTGCTCAGTGGTTCTCAAACCTGAGTCTACATCAGTCACCTGAAAAGCTTGTTAAAATAATTTCTGAATCAACAAGTCTGCAGAATAGAGCCTAAAAATGTGCATTTCTGACAAGTTCCCAGGTGATGCAGAGGTTACAGGGACCACAGTTTGAGAACCAAGGTTTTGGAACGTTAGTTCCATGAGGACAGAGATTTTTGTCCACCTATTCACTGTTTTACTTCTATGACCTGGCACACAGTAGGTACTGAGGCAGGTAAATGAATTTACTCTGTTCTCAATGCCCCCTCTGATTTCGTCTGCTACATGGTGCCAAAGACTTCCCAGGTGGTGCTAGTGGTAAAAGAACTTGCCTGCCAATGCAGGAGATGTTAAGAGATGCCAGTTCAGTCCCTGGGTTGGGAAGATCCCCTGGAGGCAACCCACTTCAGTCATCCTGACTGGAGAATCTCATGGACAGAGAAGCCTAGTGGGCTACAGTCCAAAGGGTCGCAAAGAGTTGGACGAGACTGAAGTAACTTAATAGGCATGAAGCACGGTGGGCTCTAATTCAGTATGGCTGAAGTCCTTACAAAAAGGGGAGAACACCACACTAAGACAGACCTACAGCGAGAACGCCATGTGACAACAGGGGCAGAGGCTCGTGTAACACAACTTCAAGCTAAGGAATGCCAGTGACACACACAGCTAAGAGGCACAGAGCAGATAACGCCCCAGAAGGTAGGGCGCGGCCCTGTCAACACCTTCATTCAGACTTGCAACCTCCAAAACTGTGAAATGATAAATTTCTGTTGTTTTAAATAACTCAGTGTGTTGTACTCTTTGTTATAGCAGCCCTAGGAAGCTAACACAATGACCAAAAATGCAAATGAGTCTATTAAGCTGTACATAGTTTCAAATCTGCCAATTATCCAACCTGCACCAGTTTAAATATTTTAACATGTAGCTTTCATTGTAAACTAATCAGATTTCCTGTTTCAGAATCTCTCTAATTTAATACCACCTCTCTCTGCCCTCAACGTGTCCCTTCAATGTGCCAGGTAGCTCACACTAGAGTCTAGACCACACTTAACTTGGATTTTCTTTTTGGTTTCTTCTACCTTCCTCTAGGCTACCCCATTTCACATATAACAGCTTTGTATTTTTTTCTTCAAGGGACGCTTCTTATTTTCACACATTATAGATTTTGGCCTGCATTTTCCTGTAGGACATCTGAATTAGCTGTAAAATGAAAATTTAAGTACATATTCGATACTCATTTAGATTTCAAGATAAAATGCTAACTTCTCTTTCATGGAAGAATTCTGCATCTCCCCCCGCCCCCAACCCCCTTATTTTAAAAAGAATTTTGCCATATTTCTTCCACTTTGCTATAGTTTTATACTAGCCTCTTTACTAAAATCTCAACAAATATTGTAAAACTAACATCGTTGTATTGGGAAGCTTAAAATTTTAAGTGAATCAGAATTAAATTTCAGCATCAAGTTGTCCATTTTCCATTTAATGTTTGTTTATAGGTGCACTGTCACAAGAATTCCAATTAATAATTTCTCCACACTGAGACTTTAAAATCACCATGGTCCATAAAGTGTATAAGTTGTATAATGCAATTTTTATGTTAGTGAGCACAAGTCAATACACAAATAGTAGTACTGCATATACCTAAATGACACACTTTTCTATTTCTATGACTAAGTGAAGTGAAGTCGCTCAGTCGTGTCTGACTCTTTGCACCTCCATGAACTAATGTAGCCCACCAGGCTCCTCCATCCATGGGATTCTCCAGGCAAGAATACTGTAGTGGGTTGCCATCATAATTGATATGTACTCCTAAATGACTTTGTGATATTCTAATAATTTCTGGATACTGAATACACTCAGAAATACAAACTAGTACAATCAGTACCCCCCAGAAAGCATATGTAAGGGAATATCTATCTTTAAATGGGTAGTACCCACAAAATATTTTTAAAATGCTGAACCCAAAGTAAAAAGATACAGAAAAACACAAATTTCAGGGAAATTTAAGAGAAACATCTAATAGTTCTTCACCATAACTAAAAAACCATACACTTTTCCTGTGAAGAATTTTAAGTGAGTCATACTTTCCTTACTAAATCACTGTCTTACTTAACATATGGTAAAAAGCGTTAACTGTTTGGTAGCTTTAAACTTTATATTCAATTAAACTGTACATTAATATACACTAAGGCTGGCAGAAAATGAAATTAATACAATTACTATACACAATACTTAGAACACACATCATGTGCACAAGGCTCATTTGACATTTATTTGATAAAAGTGTAAAAAGTTAGTTTTACCTCCTAAATACTCAGATTCCCACCCTCTAAACTAACTCCAGAATTAAATAACTTGAAGTTACCCAGGCAGAGCTATCTATATTCAGTGCCCAATTTCTGGTAAATGAACACATTTCTGTCCGTTTCACATTGGCCTAATTACTCACTCACTCTACTGCATTAAATTTTAACTTTTTAACTAAGTTTTAAAATCACGATGAAACCAATTCATGGTTAGGATAAATAGTGTTCAATCTGAAATGCTCTAAAACGATATAGCACAATAACTACAAGGCACTGAGAGAACTAGATTCTAAATCTCCAGTCAACTTTTCCAAGGCGTGTGATGTTTAAGTTCCAGTCTTTTGAAAATAAGAATAAAGAGAGAGGGTAAGTGCTGGGCAAGAATCAATTCCCACCCCTACATTTCGCTCGATTTCTGAGCAGACCACGTATCCAAGTTCAAAGCCGTGAAGTCAGTTTGTCAGCACCTACTAATCCCATCACACCTGGTGGGAGAGGAAGGCGGGAAGGAGAAAACTCGTCTTGCGTCCTTCACGGAGCAATGCCCCAACACACCTACCTAGCTTATTCTGCCAGAGGCAGGGGAATTTAAAAAGAACAAATCAGCCAGACAAACCTGACGATCCAGAGAGCTCAGAGGCAGTCCCCCAGCACTTGCGCAAGGCTCCGGCTCGCTGGGTGCTGGCGCGACGCGGCAGCCCGGCGGCTCTCCTGGAAGGTGCCCACACCTGAGCGCCCGCAGCTCCGCGGGGGGAGGGCCCGGCGGGGCAGGACCGCTAAGTGGTCCAGCCGCGCGGTCCGGAGCGCAGCCCGCGCCTCACCGTCGCCACCCGACGGCAGGCGGCGCGCGAAGAGGCGAGGGGCACCCGAGGGCGAAAGGGAAGGACCTGCGACTAACAGGAGGTTACAAGTCAACAAAATAGCGGCCCGGCGGGCAGGCGGCCCCAAAGGCAGTTCGCGGAGACGCCGGGAGCAGGAAGTGCCCCGCGCCTCTCAGGAGCCCGCACGTCCCCAGACCCGGCAGCGACTCCGAGACACCTGTTTGGCGGCGCCAGGGGTGGGGTTCCACCCTCCACGCTCCCCCCACATTCACTCTCCCAGAGGGAAGGGCAAGGGGACCCGAGACCTTGGACCCACAGCCTGAGGGCGCCTCCGCCGGCCGTACCTGACATCAGCCTCGGCTCCCTCTCGCCCCTCCTGGGGGGGCGGAGAGGGGGACGACACGAGACCGGCGACCTCCGCTCTGCTGGGCAGCCGCAGAAGTGGCTCGTGGCTGCTGGCCGGGGCCGCCCGCTGCCGCCCAGATTATTCCCCGGCAGCGGCGGCGGCGGCGGCGGCCGAGGCGGGCCCAGCGCGCGCTCCCGCCCGCTCGCTCCGCCCCTCCCCGCAGCGCGTTCCGGCCACGGGCCGCCGACGGCGCAGCCGCCACCCAGGGGTCTCCTAGCGCTGACGTCATCGCCGCCGCACCAGCCCCAGGGAAGGGCGGAGCGAGAGGGGGCAGGGTGGGGCGGGGCTACGGCGACGTGCGGGCGCGGGGATTGGCGGCCGAGCGCACGCCCCGCCCTTGTGCGAAGGGGTCTGGGAAGTCGCATCTTCTATGAGGGGTAGTCACAGCCCACTTGCGGCACCTCAGTGGAGGCCTCCACCTTCCTCGCGGTGCTGTAGGGTCTTGCGCTAGCTTCCGGACCGTGAGAGGGTCCAAAGCAGTGAAACATCAGGGAACAGGGCTGCGAATACCCTTGGGACCTTTGTCCAAGAAACAGGCTCTTCCCTCTCAGGAGTCTTATGGCCTCTAGCCTGCTTTTAAACCGTTCTTTTTACCCCTGTTATCCCCTCCGCCCGACTCTCTTAACTCAGTACCTCTCTGGCCTTAATGAGAGGAAATACGCAAGATGAGGCACGCAAACGAGTGTGGGATAGCCAGGTATGTGAATGAGCAGGGGCTGAGAACCCAATTAATGATACCACAGAGCCTCCGGAAGCCACACATGGGCTTTGGTTCTGTCATTACTTCACCGCTGTCAGGCAGTGACCGGAAGTTTCTTCGGAGCTCTCCAAAACCTCACCGCCTCACCTTTGGTCAGCAAAGGGACTTTGTGTCAGAAAACTGTTTTTGGATTAGAAAGCGAGGAGACCTCGAGCGATTGAGACAGCCGCACAGCAGTCAGGAGGTGGGATCAAGTCTTGACTTTATTGGTGTTATCTACAAAGTCTAGTTTGAAGGTGAGAAAACTCCCCTGCTTCCTAGGCAGTTCTTTAGTGCCTTGGCCTCTGGGCTGGAATCTTGATTCCCGCCAGCTATTAGCTGTGTAACCTTGGCAAGTTACTTTGAACGCGCTGGAGAGGAATAGTAAACAATGTAAATAAAGTATTGTTCCCTTTTATTTGTTTAGATTCAGCTTTAGTGTAGTTTACCAGGATATATCATTAATAGGTCCGAAAGAATCTTCGGGAAGAACTTTAAAACGTCTAGATTCTTATTAAACCTCTCATTTTTTCAGATGAGAAAACTGTGGTCAGAAAGGTAAACTGAGAAGCCTGTTTTGGAAGAAAAGTGCAAGTATGTGATATCCAGGTTAGTGCTCTTTCTCTGGGCGATGCCTCCAGACTTCTCTGTTGGATCCTCACCTCCATCTCTTCTCTCTTCTCCAGCGTGTATGTAATTATTGCCCATCTTCACGCCCTATGCCTTCCACAGCCACTGTGAGACAGGGATAAGAGACCCTTCGAGGTCAAAGTGTACCAATTAGAAAGCAAAATAGAACAAAATGCCTCAGGATTCTTATTTTAATTTTATTAAAATTTGTAAGGAATAAGGAATAATCTTTTTCCAGTGAGCAAATATAGGAAACCCTTCCAAGGGTAAGCTCAGCTACAGCATGTCTAAGATAATTTTCTTAGTGGCAAGAAGGTATGTTGATAGAACTACCAGGTCAAATCGGGCCCCTCCTACCCTTCTGGGTATTATTGAAAATAGTTATTATTTTCATGAAAGCAATGTACACTTATTCAAACAAATAAAAAAAAAGTTTCCAAATGCCATAATTCAGAGATAACAATTTTTAAAAATTCATGTTATACTCCAGACATCTCTAAGAATAAAAACATATAAAGGTATAGTAATACAGTGTATGTAAACTGGATTTTATTATATACACAGTTCTTTTTTCATGAAAAATATATCATGAATAACATCATTTTTAAAAGTTGCATAGTGTGAAGTGGATGTACCATCATTTATCTAACCAGTATTCTATTGATTCATTTCTGGTTTTTCCCCCAAATGTTTACTATTTTAAACAACTCTGTGATGAGTTTCTTAATGCGTGTACCTTTGCACAACTGTACAGCTGTCTTCTTGAATAAATTCCTTGAAGTGACATTAATGTCAGCCAATTTTTCTTCGTTATCAACTAGAAAAAAAGAAAACTGTGGTTACTTGGAAAAATATAATTTACACGTGAGACGCAAAATGACCAGATTCTCCCATTTGAAACACAGATTAACCTTGAACAGTATATTTATCTATCTGGAGTGTGTTTCAGTAACGTGTGTCAAAGCTCCTTGAAGCAGAATAATGTGTGTCACAGCTCCTTGGAGCAAGGTGATAGAGACTGAAAGTTGATTCAACCAAAATCCTTTCTCTATTACTTGCAGAACTCTGACTTTATTTCAGGGTGACTGTGTCCAATTAAAAATACTTGTTTACTCAGGCTCCTATAAGCCATGGTTTCCCATGTGACCTGTCAGCAGAAAGAAAGTAGATGTTGCTAGGAGAGGCTCAAAGTTTTATGGAAGAAATTTCCTGTTAGCCATTGGACCTATACCTGTCCTTTATCTTACCTGAAACAGTGATATGATGTTAGATGTGGAGCAGCCCTATTTCAACCACAGTAGCAAAATCTCATGCACTAGAGAAGGAAATGGCAGCCCGCTCCAGTATTCTTGCCTGGAGAATCCCAGGGACGGGAGCCTGGTGGGCTGCGGTGTATGGGGTCACACAGAGTTGGACACGACTGACATGATTTAGCAGCTGCATCAGCAGCAGCAAAATAATAGCATAGCCAGAGGGACTGGTTTGTGATTGCTTTGAAGGGTCAGCTTATCAGCCCTGGTCTCCTCACTTCTGGGTTTGTTGTTATATGAAGGGGTTTGTTGTATGAAGGAAAATAAATCTGTTCTCTTTAAGGTTTTTGTTGTTTTTGTTATAAGCACTGAATAAAATTCCTAATTGGTATAAAAAGATGGAAAAAGTCATTATCTATTTAGCACTATAGGTAGAATTTTTTAATAAACAGGGTAAGATGAAAATGGGAACACAGAATGGAAACAAGCAAAAACCACTCTCTAATAAACTTAGTTTTCCTTTAAATATCCAAATATTACAATTAGATTAACAACTCTTTAGTAATAAATTTAATATAGATTAAATTCTGTAAATTATATAATAATGTATAGATTAAATGGACTTCCCTTGTGGCTCAGATGTAAAGCATCTGCCTACAGGGAGACCTGATTTCGATCCCTGGGTTGGGAAGATCCTCTGGAGAAGGAAATGGCAACCCACTCCAGTACTTTTGCCTGGAAAGTTCCACGGACAGAGGATCCTAGTAGGCTATAGTCCGTGGGGTCACAGAGTTGGACACGACTGAGCAACTAAACTTCTAAAACTATAAACTATTTAGAATTTAATATAAAATGAATTTAATTATAAATTAAATTAAAACTACTGGAATAGTAGTTTTAAAATATGTTCACAAGTTCTTTGATACTTCTTTCAAAAATTGAGCTTAATTCCCCTCACCTAGAGTTTGGACTGTACTTAGTGACTTGTTCTCATAAAGGATGTAGAAATACTGTAATGTGACTTCTAAGCGGAAACTTATAAAACATATGCCAGCTTTCTTCTTGTTCTCTCTGGGATTGCTCACTGGGGAAAGGTAATTGTCATGTCATAAGGACACTCAGCAACTTAGAGAGAGGCCCATGTTATGAATAACTAAGGCTTCCAGCCAGCATTCAGTGAGGAACTGAGAACGCCTGAAAACAGCCATGTGAGTGAATTTGGAAGCAGATCCTTCAGCCTAGCCAAGCCTTCAGATGACTACATCCCTTGTCAGTATCTTTATTGTACCCGAAGAGAGTTCATGAACCAAAATCAGTCAGCTTAGCCACTCCCAAATTCAAGTCTGCAGGAACTGTAAAATAATGAATGTTTGTTGTTATAAGCCATTAAATTTTGGGATAATTTGTTGTACAGCAAAAGTAACTAGTAAAAAGCTGGATATAGTGGAGCCTACCTAGCAGAATCTAGGTATTTGATTATTTGTTGTTTTGAATGAGTGAACAACTGAATGAAGTACAATATAGTATCTTTTTCATTTAAAGGGGAACATTACCATGCTTGTATTATTTTTGACCCCTGACACCTGTAGTGTAAGGTTTTTCTAACATGATCATAGGGAGATGAGTTGTGAATCTTACTGAAATCTGAAAAATGACAGTCCTGGAAGAAACATATAATGAATAGTGCAGTGGAACCCTTGAGATGTGAATGATGCTCCCAGTTTTTTGTTTGTTTGTTTGTTTTTTACTTTTATTTGCATTTATTTTTTGCAGCATTTATTCCTGGGCCATACGTTTTTGTTTCTTCAATTTCTTCTGGGACATCTTTTTCTTCTGTGCCACCTTCTCTTCTGGTTTAGGAACAGTCTATTCTTTTTCAGTAAGGATTTCAGTTTTATCAATAATTAGCTGAGTATCAAGTTATCAAAGCCCTCTAAACCTCAATTCTCCTATTGATAAATTGGAGAAAGCAGTCCTGACTGGCCTCAAAAGGTAGTCAGTGGGATTATATGTGACAGGGATTATATCATTCTTTTAATTACATTAGATTCATAAGTTAAATATTTTAGGAGTGTGTACCATGGAAACTTTTCTTTTGAGAAGTGATAACAAATAACTAATTTTGCTGATGGCTCAAATGGTAAAGAATCCACCTGCAATGCAAGAGATGGTGTTTCAATCCCTGGGTCAGGAAGATCCCCTGGAGAAGGGAATGTCTACCCACTCCGGTATTCTTGCCTGGAGAACTCCATGGAGAGAGGAGCCTGACATGGGGTCACAAAGTGTTGGACACGACTAACACTTTGTAAAATATTAGTATTGTTCATAGTAAGAAGTTAGGATTTAAGAGTATAGCAGGATGGTTAGTTATTATACATCAGATCTCATTTTATTACCCTGTTGAAATTTTATTGCCTGTTTAAAAGAATAAATAATTATGACTGGCTCCTTTCTCTTTTCAAAAATTAATTTGTAATTGTGGTTGGGTGTGTGTCCCTCTTTATGGTAACAGTAGTTAAACATACTTAGTAATAAACATACATTTAACCAATAATTTGAGCCTAAGCTTTTATTCTAGAGCAAAATTGCACCCAACAGCAAGAAAATAAATAGTAGAAAACATGTATTTCTCTTTCAGAGAGGAGGACTTGGGCACAAAAGGGGAAGCACTATATAATGGAACATCAGAAGTAGAGACTATGCAATTACAGGCAATGTACAATTTGGTGGTGTGGCTAGGTCCAGAGGTAAATATATGAGGATGAGTAAGACAAGACTTAAGTGTAAGATTCAAGTCTTGATAATGTAATGGATGAATTGTCCATACTTCCAGGTTTTGTTGTGTTTTCTGCTCCTCAGCTGTAACTCTAAACTAGATGAAACTACAGACTAAACTAGATATCAGAGTATTTGTGGTTGTAGATGACCCCAACTAGCTACCATCTTTATTAACTTGAATAGGAAGAAGAACCCTGGAAAAAAGAGACAGAACTTCCTTCTCTGGAGACAGCATGCTTTTCAATGGAGCTTCTCATTTCGTTAAAAATTCCTGCTAGGATACAGTATTTTCATTCTGTGGAACCTGAGAAAGCATTTTCCAAACAGTTTTTTTTTCCTTGCAGCTACATGTGCACAAAATCAACCAAGATTTTGAGACAGTTGGAAAGGCTAGTGTTATTGTCTGCATAGACTGACATGTGAAGGGGATAAAGGTGGAGAACAGAGGAGGAGATAAAGAAAAAAGGAAAGTCTAGGAAATACTTTTAACCTCAAGTAAAGAGGACTCAGCATGAGTCACAAGTTATTAGCTTGAAAGCAGAGTCTGCCACGTGTGCACTGAGGAACCAGAGAAATAGTCTCAGCTTAGAAG